ATTCTCATTCAAGCGGATGACTCAGATGGGAAGGTGTAAAGTGTATATATGTTTATTATATAGAATACATGGCAATATTTTAAAATTTGTAAATACAGTGAGAGGCTATTCTTGTTGAATTCTGGTACTTCTCTTCAAAGTAGGTAAAAATCTGCATGATTAAATTATGTTGTGAGACCAAATGCATCTTGTAGAAACGTATTATCCATATGCTATTCTCATTAACATCCTTATGCCTCTTTTTATTAGTTCAGATTTTCTTTCCATCAATAAGTATCTGTATATTTGGATGACTTAGTGTATATAATACATAATGTGTGTATATATTACACACATAATATGCACATATTACCATATAGAACTTTAAGATTTATGAGGTCCCCAGGGCATATAGAGAAGTAGTTCCCCACAACAATAATGCCAAGTCTATATGGCTGGGCCCTAAAAAGGAAGCTCTCCAAAATATCTGTTCAAAAAACACAGTTTTATAATACATTTTTTAAATGTGCAATATTGTAAGATATGGGGAAAGAAAAATCAGACAAAACCAATTTTGTCCCCCCCCCCCACCAATTCCTTGTCTTTCATTCTTGTTCCTCATGCGGAAATCTTCTTAGAGACTAGAGTATGAAGGATAAGGAATCTCTAAGGAGTGACCCCCCAATCCCATTTGTGGGAGAGTAATTCAGACAGAAGGTTCTGCGCTGCCCTAGCCTGGGCAGAAACAAATTTAGATTTACTGGCAACCAATTAGTTGTCAATTCTTCTACAGGATTGGCTGCCTTAGGATATGCTCCAAAAGGAGTGGGTAGGAAGAGCTTAGTCACGACCTCCCCAGGCTGGCTCTCAAATCACAGGCAGTGCACTGAGCTCCATCACAGAGAGAAGAAAGAAATCAGACTGGATCTGTCAGGTACCTGCGGAAGCTGGACAATCCCCGAAGATCCCCGGCAGTGAAATACCAGCATAGATGCAGCGAGACAAGGAGAGGTCCACTGCCTGCAATCAGCTTTTCTGATTTCCAGTTCCCTTCATGTGCTTGGAAATCAAATCACAGCTACCCCACTTCAGCAACGTTGCAAAACATTTTGTGGGGAAGAAGTAAAAATTGTGGTTTATAATGAATTTTTGGAATCTGGTTTTTATTGAAGTCTGCCTCAAGTAAGTGCACACCCAAATCTATAGGCTGTTCTAACATAGAGTCTTTAAAAAAATGGTGAAAATCATCCCAAAGAGCTTTCAGCTTTGTGAAGTTCCATATAAATGGGTCATATGGCAATGGGATTACAAACCTATTAAGGGTGCCAATGGGAAAGCCTAATTATTTTTTAGAACAAATCATTCAAAATAGATGCAAATTTTAAAGCAAAACAAACCGAAGCATCTATAATGCAGCATTAGAATCCAGAAGTTAAAAAAGAAAAAACCTACACTGGTAAATATGAAAATAATCTATGAAGATATTTACAAAAACTGTGACATTCCGAAAAGAGACATTTTGTTGGAGCATAGCAGTTACCGTGGGGACGCAACCACGAGGTGTTCAACTTCCATCATCAAACGTAAACAGTTTAGCAGTCGTCTAAGTGGCAAAGTGATAGAGATCTTAATGAAGATGGACCCCCAGAAAAGGAAGACAGGAAAATACAGTAGGGAGGGAAGGGTTCACACCAAGGAGAAGAGGGTTAGATCCCCTCCTTGCAAGGTCTTGAACGGCAGCTTTTTATCTTTGGGAATTTCAATTAGCCTCTGTGATGGGTGATGGGACAGTCGGGAAGGGAATATTCATGAGGCTGGAGGCTGGGTGGTGGGGAGGCTGGATGGTTAGTGGGGAGCTGGGTGGTTGGTGGGGAGGCTATGTAGTGGGGAGGCTGGATGGTTGGTGGGGAGGCTGGATGGTTAGTGGGGAGCTGGGTGGTTGGTGGGGGGGCTGGGTGGTTGGTGGGGGTCTGGGTGGTGGGGAGCTGGGTGGTTGGTGGGGAGGCTGGGTGGTTGGTGGGGGGGCTGGGTGGTGGGGAGCTGGGTGGTTGGTGGGGAGGCTGGGTGGTTGGTGGGGGGTCTGGGTGGTGGGGAGCTGGGTGGTTGGTGGGGAGGCTGGGTGGTTGGTGGGGGGGCTGGTGGTGGGGAGCTAGGTGGTTGGTGGGCGGGCTGGGTGGGCGGGTGGGGAGGCGGGTGGCTGGTGGGGAGGCCGGGTGGCTGGTGGGGAGGCTGGGTGGCTGGTGGGGGTCTGGGTGGTGGGTGGGGAGGCTGGGTGGTTGGTGGGGGGGCTGGGTGGTGGGGAGCTGGGTGGTTGGTGGGGGGGCTGGGTGGGTGGTGGGGAGCTGGGTGGTGGGTGGGGAGGCTGGGTGGTTGGTGGGGGGGCTGGGTGGGTGGTGGGGAGGCCGGGTGGTGGGCCCTCCTCCCGGAGCCAGCAGAGGAGGGGAGCAAATGTCGGTTTGGGCTGGAGCCCACGCAGTGCTCGTTCAGGAAGTGGTGATTAACAGGTTAAAAAGAACAGCTTGAAATATTTACCATGTAAAGGTCTTACTCTCCTCCCGTCATCTTGGAAGCAAAGCTGAAATTTACTGTTAGGTTAGCGGTGTCTGTGGCCAGGAAAACTGCACCATCTAGGGAAAAAAAAAGTCTGGATTTTTGGTTCATAACTAACGAAATTGAAGGGTTTGGCACATATGGACTCCGCATGCAATAAGAGAAAAGCAAATCGGCACACTTCCCCCCCGCCCCCCCTTAAAAGTGTCTGGCGCCTGTAACAACTTCTCCAAGAGCTGACCCCTCGGTGGGCTGCCTAACATTCAGCCTTACGTGCAGCACAACAGAGAGAACGTCTCTCTCGCTCTTTATTTTTCTGTTCAAGTTGCACGTTTTGGATTTTAATGCCTGCGATAAAACGGGAGAGCAGGGAGACGGATCACACACGGCGCTGAAGGCGCGCTCCGGGGATGGCATCCCAACAGGTGCCCCTCCCGGCGGGGAGCCCTGCAGGGGGGCGGCCCAACCGCCCAGCGCGCAGAATTGAGCCGGGTCCGCGCGGCCGGTGCTTCTGCGCGGGGCGCGGGGTGCAGGGGCGGGGTGCGGGGGGCGGGGTGTGGGTGCAGGGGTGCAGGGGCGGGGGCCCGGGGTGCGGGTGCAGGGGTGCAGGGGGCGGGTGCAGGGCGGGGTGCAGGGGGCGGGGTGCAGGTGCACCGGGCGGGTGCAGGGGTGCAGGGGGTGGGGTGCAGGGGGCGGGTACAGGGGTGCAGGGGGCGAGTGCAGGGGTGCAGGGGGCGGCAGGTAAACTTTTGTAGATCTTTGTTGGCCAGTCCGACCATCACCCGGGGAGGACGCCGCGGGGGAAGCGCGGCTGAGGGCGCCCCGGGGCGGGGGGGGGGGCACGCGGTCTGCGAACCGGCTCGCGGGGCCGCCAGGGGGGCGTCGGCAGTCCTGGGGCTCGGCGGGGCCCCGGTCCCGGTGGCGGCAGGAGCGTGGAGGACCGAGCGGCGCACCCAACGGGGCTCGGGAAACCCAAGAAACTTCCCGCTGCTTCCACGCAGCGCGCGGGGGACTCGGTCCCGCGTGGACGCGCCCGGTGACCCGGGGCGGGGGAGGGGGCTGCCCGGGTCCCGCCCTCCTGCCCACCAGCCCTCCCTCCAGCGGGGGTGGCCCCTCCCTTGGAGCCAGGGCAGGTGCAGCGCGGGGGAGCGAGGCCGTACGGGTGTCCGCGTTCCCGACTGCGCAGCGGCCCCCACCCCGGCCCCCGCACCCTGGAGGCCTCGGGGCGCCCCGCCGGGGGGGCGGGGGGCGGGCAGCAGCGCTCGGGGGGCCCCGGGGAGCCGCCGCAGGTGCAGGTGCGGGGAGCAGCGGGCGGTTCCCCGCGGCGGGGGGGACGGGGGGGTCCCCTGCGCCGCGGGGGAGCTCGGCGGCCCTGCCCGCGGCCTGGCTCCGCCCCTCCAGGCGTGGGGCTCGTGCCCGCTCGGCCCGCGCGCCCCGCCCCCCCCCCCCCCCCGCCACTACGGCCGCCCCCGCCTCCCTCCGCCGCCGCCTCCCTCCGCCCGCCGCCCGCCGCCCGCCGCCCTCCGCCCGCCGCTCCCGCTCCCGCTCGCTGGGCTGCTGCAGTCGCCGGCTCGCTCCCCGCTCCCGCTCCCGCTCCCCGCTCCCGCTCGCGCTCAAGTTTCCCTTCCGCTCGGACCGGGGCCGGGGAGCAGAGCGCCGAGCCCGCCTGCCGCTGCAGGTAAGGTCGCCGCGCCGGTCCCCACAGGGACCCCACCCCCACCCCCCAGCCCGGCGGGGTCCGGTCGCCGCCGTGTCCCCAGCTTATTGCAAAAAAAAAAAAAAAAAAAGCCCCAGAACCCAAGCCCGCTCGGGTAGTCCTGGCCCGGAGCGGATCTGCAAGTACGGGCAGGCTCTTGTGCAGTGCTCAACTTTGCACCCCGGCTGGCGCTCCCGCGGCTCGCGCTCCGCGGCTCGGGGGCGGCTGTCACGCGCGTGGATCCGGAGCCGGGGCCTCGGGCAGGGGGGGCGCTGCTGGAGGGGGGCGGGCAGGCGGGCCGCGGGGCCCCAGGGACAGCGCAGCCCGACCAGGGGGCTGCCCGCGGGGGTTGCGGGGGGCGCCCGGGGACCCCCCCTGCGCGCGCCTCCCCCCGCGCTCCCGCCCGGTCCCCTCTGCGGCCCCCACGTCCGCTCGCGGTCCCGCGTGTCGCCCTCGCGCGTGTGCCAGCTCGACAGTCCGCCCACCACGGACCGGGCTGGGGCCAGTGCGAAGTCGGTGCATTTGGTCATCCTGCCGTCAGGACAGAAAAAAAAAAAAAAAAAAAAAAAAAAAAAAAAAAAGACCAAAAAAAAAAAAAAAAACAAAAGAACAAAAGAGAAAAAAGAAAAAAAAGAACAAAAAGGAACAAAAAAGAAAAAAAAAAGAAGAAAAATAAAGGAAGAGAAGGGCAGACCAGACCCCCTCCCCCGCCCCGCACCTGCTCCTCCCTCCCTCCCTCCCTCCTCCACCCCCCCCCCATCCTCACACCTTACGCTGCTCCGTGGGAATAATTCTGCAGCTTTCACTCCGATTCTCAATTGAACCGACATCCTCTGGGGGCTCTCCGGCTGCGGGAACGGGACGTAATCTTAAGTGTATTTTTCCCCCCTTGCATGGCTTTGCGAAGAGCGGCAATGAAGGCGAAATCCGACACCTACAACATGCGGCTGCTGCTGCTGGTTGTCCTGCTGTGGGACCCGGCCAGGTGAGACGTCTGTTCCTTGGGTTGGACTTTTTAAATTCAGGGGAAACGGTGTGTATTTTTGCTTTGTTTTGTTTTGCTTTGTTTTTCTTTCTTTCTTTCTTTCTTTTTTTTTTTTTTTTTTTTTTTTTTTTTTGGAATGCGGTTCCAGGCTGGGGTGGCCTTGAGAAGCTGAAGTATTGAGAAGCTGAAGTATTTTGTAGAGTCCGTTCTAGGTGAAGAAAGGTTGTATCAGAAAATTGAACTGTGAAGTCGCAGGGGCTATAAAAAAGTTCACTGCTTCGTGTCTTTTTGGTGATAAAATGCCAAAGCGATGGGAAACGTTTTCTTGGAAAGAAAGGAAAATCACCTAAGAAAAGAATATCCTTTGAATGGATTTTTTTTTTTTTACAAGGGATTGAAGTGGTTAAGTTATACGCGTTTATAATAACACCAAAATTCAGTAAAATAGCCAGCAGGTTTTTTTTTTTAAAGCCAAACATATAAGCACAAGCTAAAAGGATTTGATTAACTTATTTTTTTTTTCTTCCTTCCTGCTTTCTTTCTTTTTCTTTATTTTAGTGGTTTTGGCTTTTTTAGTCCACATAGAGAACCCAAAGGATGTGTGAGTCTTTAACCTCTAGGTGGAGGTAGTATACAACTTCATAACCACAAACAATAAAACAAAAGCCTGGTTTATTAATCAACTTTTTGTATTATTGAGTTAGAGTTCTTTTATTCCTAAAATGGTGACTGTCATGAATAGTGCTTATTTTAAACGTGTAACTACTTTTGTTTTGCCTGTGTTCTACAAACATGCAATTTTTATTGCTTTCAGTAACACCATCTTATTTGTAGTCTTTTCTGATTTGTAGCATCAGTGGGCATTTTTATTATCTAAATTTTGAAACGATTTTCAAAATATCAGAGGACTTGAAATACAAGAGGTACAAGGATGTTCATGTAACCATTCATTATAAAATTATGTCTTTACTATTTTCATTTCCCTTTTCATTTTTCATTTTCCTGTCCGAGGAATTGTCAGACTATGAAGATACTTTCTAGAATTCAGAATGAATCTCTTTGTTAGGGCTTGTTTTTAATTGAAAATTGGCTCCTCATTTAACATCTTAATATTGGATTTAGAAAAAAAGAGTATGACACGTGACTAAAGAACACTTTTCAGTGAAAACCTCTATGTGGAACTTTATGATTATCATAGTGATTGGTTTTAAGATTAGCCGAAGGTAATATAGAAACTTTTGGTGCTGGGGTTTTGATGAACTGATTTGCTTACATAATTTTTAAATGTTTACCTTTATATCAGTGGTTTAATACTTTCTCTGCCCTGAAGACAACATTCCTTTGAAGTTGGTTACCCATTTTTTAAATGTATCATGACTATTTTTAGTTACCGTGTAGTCATTTAAATGCAAATGGACTCTATCAATGATATTGTATCCAATACACCTTGATCAGAATGCAGTCACGCATGATCTTTGATTTTAAGGGACTGAACACTCCATGGTCAATTAATAACCATTGAGGATCCTCGGTGCTAAACCCTATTTCGCTCTACTAGTTTTCTGTTCTATATTTGACCAGTAATGCTCATGCCAGTATTTTATTCTATTATATAAATGATTCTTTTTTTGGGCCAGTAATTTAAATCTCTGAATCATTCTAGGGGAAAAAAATGGCAGTGAAAAGGGACATTCTGTTTTATGCATCCAGTTGCTTCTGCACCAAATTGCTGGATGTCACAAAATCAGGTCTCTGGCTTTCTGATGGAGAAATAATGGAGAAAATCACTGTTTCTAACCCTCTTCTGGCGATATTTTAAGACCAGTTGTTCTTTTTGCAAATTTATCACGTACACACCAAAGTAGTTAGGCATTTTAATCTTTAGGCAACCCCCGTGGCTCTCCTCAGAGGCCGGTCAGGAGGGGGACTCCTCCCAGGCTCCCTGCAGCTGTGTGTGCGCCACTGCTCCTTCCAGAGCCCACCTCCACTGCCTGGCTTCAGTGGAGCCTGGAAGACAGCCAGTGGAGTTTCCCCGATGTCTATATTGCACTTGGCCATTGGGTGGAGGTATACCCTAAGTAAGGAAATAATCGTGCTTTAAAAAGAGAAAAATGACATAAAGAAAAAAAGAAAGGCACTTAAAAGGAAGACAGGGAAATCTTCTGCCTCCAAGGAGCCAGTTTATTTTCCAATTAATATTCAGGCTGCCCAGGTGTTACTCCAGGAGTCGTTTGGGTTATTTTACCTTTCTTGATGCAGAACAACATTACTAGTAGTGTCTGCGTCTGATCATCTACAATCATAGTTTATAGTCGAGGGGATGGCTTTTCGAAAAAATGAATACTCCACACTGAATGCTAAATGGTAGAAAACCTGACATTTTAACGTCAGACTTTCTGATAATCTGGTATTTAGTGTCCATTTTCAAAGGCTTGTTTATCTCCTCCCTAGACATGCTGGCATTTGTAGAAGTGATAAAAGGAGAAAAATGGGTGGCCCCTAATAGTTTAGAGAGACTTTAAATTCAAACCAAGGAAGAAGAGTATGTTGGCACTTGTGCAACACACAGATGTATGTGTATACGTATGTGAATATATATAAATATATCAGCTTGTAAAATTATCTGTTTAGGTTGGTGCTGGCTAACATCCAAGAAGATGAGGCTAAAAATAACATTACCATCTTTACAAGAATTCTAGACAGACTTCTGGATGGTTACGATAATCGGCTTAGACCAGGACTGGGAGGTAAAAGTAGTTTTGCTTTTTTTAAGCTCTGATGAAATATAATGCTTTTAAAAGTTAAGAGTAATATTCATATGTTCATACATTTTATAGATGGATGCATGTCTTAAAAAACCATAGATAATAGAGAGTGAGGTATAATCCCAAATAATGAAATAAACATTATTTGGGATTCCGTTTACACACACACAATGTATTTAACATGCTTTTTTAAGAATGCCTGAAGTCACATAGAGCCCAGACTTTCTGCATGAAGAGTTCTTAATTTGTTTATGATGGCTAAGTTTTTCAAACTTAAATGATATTAAAATGAAACGTTGCTGGGCAGCTATGCTTGTGTAGTAGCTTCACATTTATAGGTGCCTATTTTCACCGCAGTACAGATATGAAGAATTGAGACACGTTAAAAAAAAAAAGTATCTGGGTTGTATTTCAACAAAGTCTAAGCTTCTATGATGATATTTCTTTATTTCTTTACACATGCACATGATATTTCTAAAAAGTAGCACAGGTTCGGCATTCTTGAAACTTTCAAAACGTCTTAGCTATGCATTAGCTGTAGGCCTAAATGTATTGGACTGTGGCACAGTTTGATTTCAAATTTAAATGTTAATTTTCAACTCAGAAAAACAAATCTATCTTTATCCACAAAGATAAAGGAAATTAGGCTTGGCTAAAAAGTTAGTTTTTTTTACTATGTTAAATTTTAACTATCCTCTAATTATCCTTAGGTAGGTGATACTAAGGAGTTTAGGTGAAGGTAAAGTAGGTGTATAATTCCTAAAGGATTCTGAATCAGCATAGTTACTCATGATTCTACGATGATCTACTACATGATACTAATCAAAGATTTATGTAGTTAGCCAGGTTGTTACTAGGCTGGCAACTTTGTAATGTGAAATTTCTTGTAAAGATGTGTATGCAAATACTAGATATTTATGCAAATACTTTCTTTGAAAAATATAGGTGGTGGTTAATTCTATGTATATTTTCCAGTGTGTGGTTTGGATTGTCCAGGAGTCAGAAAAAGTCAGAAAAGACCCAACTTGTTGTTAAATAATCTGCCGTTTAATGCTGTTAGTTTTTACTGGAATCCCTGAGACGTATCTCTCATTTTAAGAGAAGTCCGGGGTGGGATGATGGGGGGGGGATAATATTCAGAAATATGTCTCCTTGTATCATTCAGAGCAGATCCAATTGCTTAATATACACTTAGTTTTCTAAAAGGAAAAACTAAATGGAAGATAATATTTCTTTAGTAATGAATATGTCTAATGAGCATGAATATAAGGAATCACTCTCCACGTTAGCATATGACAATGAACTATTGCCAAACTCTTACTGTAGAAGCAAGAGTCTGTCATAATTCATGATGGTGGTTTAAGAGGTATATTGCACTGAGGCAGATATTTTTCCTAAGTCATAGATTCTATTTTTTAATAAAATAAAGTCTTTATATCTGAGCTAGGCCTTGGGTTTTGTGTCTGAGTTTTTAGGGGAAATATCTGTACCTGAGGGTATGTGGCAGGAGAGTAGAAACTAACTATTTCAAGACGTGGGTCTTGCCATTTAGCTCTTCATATTTCTTTTGTAATATCTCTTACATTCTTTTTTACTTCCATTGTCACCATTCAAATATGGGTCCTCGTCACTATGTTATTTGGGTTAATGCAGTAAACTAAGTGGCTTTTCTTGTCTAGTGTCTTCCTTCCCCAGTCCTTCTCTGATATCAGACATATGCTAATATTTCCCAATCAGATCAGTTTTCTTTTATTCTTACGATGCTTTCATATGCTTCTCTCTCTCTCTCTCTCTCTTTTTTTTTTTATCATATATCTTCATTGGCTCCCCAGGAATAGGGGATAGATATCCCCAGGAATAGGGGATATCTTCATTGGCTCCCAGGGGGCAGGAATAGAAAAAGGTAGTAGAAGGGATATAGATCCAGGTGAGCTTCTGTTCCATCCACTCACAAAGCTGTGTCTTGGCCAGATAATCTCTGTTTCCTTTCATTTAAAATGGTCATTGGGATGCCGGGGTGGCTCAGCAGTTGAGCATCTGCCTTTGGCTCAGGGCATGATCCTGGAGTCCCGGGATCGAGTCCCACGTCGGGCTCCCTGCATGGAGTCTACTTCTCCCTCTGCCTGTGTCTCTGCATCTCTGTGTGTGTGTGTGTGTGTCTCTCATGAATAAACAAAATAAAACAAAATTCACAAAAAAAACATGAAACGGTCATGATATACCTACCTTGCTGCCTTATAGGATTGTTGAGAGAATTATATAAACAAAAAGTGTATATAAAGCTGGTGCTACATAGTAGCAATTCAACAAAAATCTAGTTCTTTCCTCCTCCCTTAGATTCCTCATTTACCAGTTAGGGTTTTCTATTTTATACTTCTCAGGCTTCATTTTGATTTTTCCTCCCGTTCATTTTGTACTTCAAAGACATTTGTTTGTTTTCTCTTGATAATCCATCATATCTGCTTCCTTGGCCTTTGATTGTATTATTTCCTCTCCCTGGAAGTACTATTCTCATCCTCTCTGATGACTGAAACCCTTCCTTTTCCATAAAGACCACCTCAACCCTGGTCCTCTAGTAAAGATCTTTCTTGATTGTGTTGAAACACGTAGATTCAGTCTTCTCTCTGTTGGATTTCTTCAGTGGTTGTGGGCTCTGTCTCTCATTCGGAACCTAGTATGTGCTATCTTGGATTATTTATCACCTTTTTGTGTGTCTCTTGTTCCCTTAACAAAATTGTAAGCTCGTGGAGGCAAGATATTGTATCATAAATTCTCTGTGCTCTCAGGGACTCAATATTGATTTGCATATTGTGGCCACCAAATAATGTTGCTTGCTTGATTAACTTTTCTATGACCAGTTGATCATCCATAAAATGGGGCTCCTCATATTTAGCTGACATTTTAATTGGAAATGTTGATGTAAGGCATCATGCTGCAGGAAGTGAGCGGCGTAGCGAAGACCTACCGAACTTCACGTTGTGGGGATTTTGGTAAAATCCCAGCTCTGGTACTGAGCAGTCCTGTGACCTTTAAAGACTCAGCCTGTTTAGGTCCACATCTGTCATCCTAAAGTATGATTACTCATACTATTCTTAAAGCATTCGTTGAATATTAAAGACAGTGATATATGCAAAGAATTTAGCACAGTGACTGGCATATGGTAGAGAATAAGGAACAATACCTAAAAGACTTTCAAAAACTTTCTCAATGTACTCTTGTAAGTTAAATGATTATTACTTCTGCATCCAATATCCTTAGCCTACATGTTCATACGTCATTTCAAATAGAAAGTCCAAGAAGATTACTTGCAGCAGTATGTCCCAGAAATTAATAAGGACAAAATGGGTTTGATTCAAATGTAATATATCAAACTGAGTATGTCTGTTGATGACAAACCTGGATAATAATCTTAATTATTATTTTCTTTTCTTTATAGCCTTTATGTAAATGAGTCTATAGGAAAGCGCAATCAGTCTTGAACTACAAGTCAGAAAAATGGTTCTTTTCACCCGGCTCTACCCCTTACTAGATTTTACCCTAGCCAGATTACACAGGCACTCTGACTCTTGGTGTTTTCTTGGGGAAAATGGCAATAATAGTATTTTATCCTGAAAGGAGGAGGGTAAATAATAGTATTTTATCCTGAAAAGAGGAGGGTAAGTTCACATATATGATAAAGATGGTACAATACATTGAGTGATAGAATTTCAAGATATTTTATGATTAATAATAGAGTCTCTTTAAAATTTGAGTTACATCATGCCACTGAACTGCTCAAAATTCTGCAATTATTTCTACTTGGTTCAGAATAAAAATCAGGTTCCTTTTGGTGGTCTCCAAGGCCCTGCATGATCTGTTCACTTATTCTTTCTCTCACCTTACCTCACACAGCTCACCTTCTTACTAACACCGCTGCGGTCACATTGGCTTCCTTTCTGTTCTTTGAACATACCAGGATACTCCTTAGAGCTTTTTCCCTGGCTCTTCCCTCTTCCCTGGATATCCTTTGATCTCATCTCAATGAGGCCTACCCTTCCCAACCAAATAAATACTATAACCTCATCCACCTTCTTAATAATTCTGATCCCGCTTGCTCAGCTTCATTTTTTTCTTTTTTTCCTTAGTACTTGTTACCTTTTCATATTTAAGATAATTTACGTCTCTATCACTGTTTTGTCAAATGCTTATTTTTGTCCCTTCTGCTAGAATGTAGGCTCATTGAAGTCAGGGATTTGTGTCTGTTTTGTAGCTCGATTCATTGATGCATCATCTGCCCTAAGCCTCTAGGACAGTACCTGGCGTATAGTAAGCCCTCAAATATTTCTTGAATGAATCTGAATTTTATTCCATTATTTTATTTTATTTTATTTTACTTTATTTTATTTTTACTGTGCTATCATGAAAGGAATTGACGATAGAACTTACCTTATTCTTGAATCAGAGGAGCCGTTGTCGTTAAATTAACACGCTGGCCTTCCACTATTAACATCAGCATATTTTAGGCTGACATCTTGGTGAATTAGAGCTGTCATCATACCAGTTCCTCAGATCCTGACAATGTTAGCCGTGATTCTGTCTTGAACTGTGTGATTTGGGGTGATTCATTTATCCCATCTGTGACTTAATTTACTCATCTGTGAAATGGCAGGAGAGGATCTACTTATTCTATTTATATCTCTCAAGGATATGATGCAGTTCAAGTAAATTAAAATTCTTGAGTGAGCATAATGTGACACACAGTTGATGAGTGTTATGATTGTCAGGAACATGAAGAGAATTCTTCCAGAACATCTCAGGAGATAGTGTCTTTGAGAACATGCTGAGAAAATACTGGTAGGTCTTGTGCATTTGGTAGGCTTTACTTCTTTGTGAGCCTGGAGACCTGCGATGGGCTTGCCTTGGTATCTTATCAACCAAGACCGTATGTTTAGATTAGCTAGAACTAATCACTGAATTAATTTTTCCTCTTCATTTTAGCCATC